GCACCTCCTACCGCAAAACGGCCGGAGACACCGCACTACCTCCAAGAAGGAGACGGCGCCCTCTAACGCCGCTCCCTCAACCTTCCCTCCTGGCTGTTGGTCCGCGCCGGATTGCTCCGGTACCACAAGCTCCTGTTGGGGCCAAACAGGCGCGAGTGGTGTTCCCCTATCCGCCACCCGGGGACGCGTCCGGTAGCAGTCAGCCTCTGCCCCGGAAACGAGCAACACCTGGCCGGAGAGCTGCAACATGTTAAGCAAGTTCTGCGAGGCAACAAGCTGCAAGTGCCGCGCCAACGTCACAGGGACCGAGTGAAACCAGCCACAGTCGAGCGCGTCCCTGCAGTCCTACCTTACATGAGAGGCGTCACTGACAAGATTGGCTATATTCTAAAGCGAGCTTCAATTAAAACTTACTTCAAGCCGCCAAAGAAAATTAGTCAGTTTCTACCACCTGTCAAGTGCCACATCCCTCTACAAGATGCAGGAGTTTACAAGTTTGATTGTGATTGTGGGCTCTTACATCGGACAAACAAAGAGATCCATTAGAACCCGGGTCAAAGAACACATAGCTGAAGCACCGTCGCAATACAACATCTGCTGTCTGCAAACATAGTCAGGACCGCCCAAGCCATTATATTCGCTTCGATAGACCTCAAATCCTGGCGAAAGAAAACCGATATCGCCCTAGAATGATTCGAGAAGCCATAGAAATTAAAAAACATCCTAATTTCAATAGGGAATATGGCTGGGTACTACCATCGTCATGGAATCCTGTTATTAATATAATAAAATCTAATAATAAATCTAAACATAACAGACAGGTAGATGTAGTAAGTTCTTACTGTGTAGATCAAAATGATAGCATTTCTGATTAATAATATTTTTCACTTTTTCATTTGTAAATGTATGTAGTAATGTGTTGCTTAATAATTTGTTTTTTAAATAATAGCAAATTAAAATTAAAATTATTATTTTTAATTAATCTTAACTTTTTCAAATTACACATAGATCAATTGTGGCTTAAACAATTAATATATTATGATTTTTTCTTTATGGTTATAAATATAATAATGGCAACACTAAAATGTAGATTAATAATTATTATTTTTTAAAATTGAAATAATTATAATAATAACAGCTCAAATTAAATAAATAATATTCTATATTCAATTATAAAGCTAATTAAAACTATATAAAAATGTGTAAAGTTAAAAGTTAAAATATTGTAAGGTACTTTAGTGCCATTTTTCAATTTTTTGAATTTATTTTGTTAATTGTGGGTAGGCTGTCTGTAACAACTATATAATACCTTAGAGACATCTAACACCTCAGTCTCTTCCCAATGTACTCTGTGGTCTCTCCCGTGACCATGATTGCTGTAAAGCATTCGAAACGTCGGGAACCAAAAATCGAAATAAATTCGCGAAAAAATCCGAAAAGATCGTTTTATTTAAAATGATAATGTGTTTTCTGTTGTTGATCGTAAATAAATAAATAAATAATATACAGTCAAGTGGATAATGGAGTGTAGTGACGTCATTCAATGTGGGCGAAGTCAATATAGAAAATTGTCGTTAATAGAAGAAAAAAAATACAGAAAAACCAATATCCTAAGTACATACTACATACATATAATAAATCGAATCTATATATTAAATATTTGTTCGAAAAATTGAAAAAGTCATTATTATCGATAGGTACAGACGCCGAATCTATAGGTTTTGGAATTTTTGTCTGTCTGTCTTTGTCTAATTTTTTATGATGATAGCTGGGTTTCCGGGTCAACATATAGGTTACTTTTTACTGCGGGAAGATATTTCATCTCTGAGAGATCTATAGATACTTAACGTAACTAGGGACGAACCCAAGCGGAGCAAGGGAGTCGCTAGTATTTTACATACTTTTATCACGTTTTAGGGTCGTCATCCTCTTATCTAAAGCATACTTATTATATCTACCTGGTTTTTTAGACTAGGGTTTTAAAATGTATCTACCTAAATACTGAAATAAATTCATTAAATGTTTTTTTTTGTCAACGATTAAAGAATAATTATCTTTTATCATACTTAATTTGCATTACAATATTCATGTTCATAATATTTATTAGGTACATTTAACTAAATTTTTATTATGTAGGTTTAAACATGTATTGGAAACAAAATTAATACATCATGATAGTGGTTTTATGTTACTCAATTAAGTAAATATACGAAAGTTTTAACGATTTCACCTGTTATCTTCTTTCATCGTTTTCAAGAAACTAAAATTGTCTCATAAACACCGTGATTATTTGATATAACTATTATCACCCGTAACAAGGACTCTATAGAACGTCTGGTGGTGCAAAGGAAAGTCTAGAGCAAAAGATCTCGTGGGCGCTCTCAAACACGGAATACGGACCTCATAAAATCTGTGACACACTAGCATAAATGATAACGCCCAAGCCGCCACACATGGAGATACATGATGTCACATTACGAGAGAAGCGGAGGCAAGATTCGACTCAGACATGACCACGACGTCACTCTGTCAAAGACAAAGAAAAGAAATAGTTAGAGCTAATTTTTATTGTACTTAAAACTCGTTTTTTTTAAATAATAAGTGTTCGAAATTCGACCATAATCATTATTGAAAATTTAAGGAAAGTAAAGAATTTACCTATCTATATAAAAATCTATCTATCTCTAACCTAACTATCTATCTATATAAAAAACGAAGTGTTTCCAATTTTTTTAATCAAAAATACTAAAGCTACCTACTAAACAAAAAAAAGTAAATCGGTTGACAAACAAAGGAGAAAAAGGTACTGAACTGTTTTGTTTTTGCCTATTCATATAATATTTCTACAATATTCTTGTATTTTAATGCATAGTTATGACGCGGTTAAAACACAAGTTTACTAGGTATATACAAAATTATTTTGTATTAAGTATATTACGTAATGATTCACTTACTGCCCGGTAATTTGAATACAATGATACATTTTGACAATGCCCTATTTATACAAAGTTAGATTTGAACAAATTGATTTCAAAAAACTAAGGTAAATCTATCAGTGCCGATTGGGTGAGTGGAAATTTTAAAAAATAACGATAGTATTTTACAATAAAAACTTAAAAAAATAAAAATAAATACCAACTTCCAGGCACTAAAATGTAAAAAATAACTAAACAGAGGTTTTCATTTAGAATAGATACCTAATCAGATATTTTCGAAGTCGACGAACCTATATTATGTGAGGACGATCCAATTTATATAAGAACGGTTTTCTATTATAAATTATTATTATTACCCGACTGCGGCGAAGCCCAAAGAAGGGTTATGTGTTTGATCTGTATCCATGTATATATATAGTACATGGGCCACCGAGCTTCGCTCGGAGTTTTTGGTTAAAAAGTACAATTTTCTTTTAAAAAAAACTAAAAACTTGAATAAATATAAAATAAATAAAAGTAAAAACTTTATATGCGACCGAGATTCGAACCTGGACACCTGTGATTTTGATCTTGCACCTTGGCCGCTTGAACACGATGCTTATACCCGAGCGTGAAAATTACCGACCATATTTTGCGTGGAATAATGCAAAAGAAAACCGCGTGAAAACTCGAAAACACGCGTTTTCCCAGACATAAGACTAATTTAGATCGATTTATCGCTCCCGAAACCCCTTGTATACTAAATTTCATGAAAATCGTTGGAGCCGTTTCCGAGATTCAGATTATATATTATATTCAGATTATAAATATATATACAAAAATTGTTCGTTTAAATATATATATATATATATTGCCCGCAGCTCCGCCCGCGTTAAGATGGTCAAAAACCAAATTCTTAGGTCTTACATATCAGTATGCTCTTACATTTCAGTTTTTTTCCCGCGGTAAAAAGTATCCTATATGTTGACCCGGATAACCAGCTATTTTCATCAAAATCCCTCCAGTGATTTTTGTAATGCGGTAACAGACAGACAGACAGACAGATATAGAAAAATTCTAAAAACTATAGATTCGGCCTCTGTATCGATAATAATGTCTATTTCAATAACATTTTCCGAAAAATATTTAATGTACAGATTCGGCTTAGTTAGAATTTTATTATACGTATAGATTACTTCTTTGTAAGGATAACATACGATAATTTTTTTGTCTGTTGGCTCGACTTACGTTGATTGAATTTGTTTCTCATTCGATTTACCCGATTGTACGAAGCTCAACAAAGGGTTATGTTTGATCTGTGTGTACCTATCTATGTATATCCAATCTATGTTCCCTAGTAACTACCGAATTTCTTAACACCTCTAGGTAAATTTCTAAGAAATGAATTAAAATTCTAAGAAATCTATTGTTAACTAACACGCCGACGTGGTCCGTGGTCGTGGAGGGATTAACCGATTTTGATGAATTATACCTCGTTAGATTATAACGTGAGTAAAGACTTTATAACGTGAGTGTCATAGGAAAATAAAATTATGAAACTTTAAATGGTGATTTTAGGTGCCAATTTCGGCTTCTTGAAAAAACATTTTCTCTTCTTACACATTTATTAAGTTTCAAAATGTACCTTTAATATTTTGACTAATTAATTTGGAATAGCAAATTGTTAAATAAAATTTTCTTTATTAAATGTTGTAATTGGTCAAAACTAAAAAGCTGTAATTAAAAATATTACAAAAAAAAACAAAATTTTTTTGGAAATTATTTTTTTTTATTTATTTACACTTTATTTTAATTTATAAGTCTTTGTCTATTAACTTTACTAATCATTTTAATTTATATTTGCAAGATAAAAAATTGTTTATACATACACCTCACACCAGGATTTCAACATAGATAGCTATATTTTTACAAGTATGTACTAATCAGAAACTTCTAAACTATATCAACAAACAGCTTGGTTACGTATTTATTAGCTGCTTTATCACCTCGCACTTGCTAGAGTCATCGCGGCCGGTCGTCGTTCAGTCATCATTTTATATTTAATCGGTATACGCGTATCACGAAATGGCGCGAAAATTGCTCCTACGTCAAATTCGAGAACTAAAATCGTTGAGAAAATTCTCAACAAGTAGCTTTTTAAAGAAAAATGAGGAGTTTATTATAAAATCGCGTCTTTCTGACGTTGTGATTCCTAATATGCGGTTTTTCGATCGTCTTTGGGTAGATTTCCCATCTTTTCAGAATCATGTTGCTATTGTAAGTACCTGAACTATTTTTTTAATTACATATTTGTACATTAATATAATATTCGTTCACGTCTAATTTATTCTCATATGTTAATCTTCAGATCTTTTTTAGGGTTCCATTTTTTTTGTTTCTAAATAGATATCATTTACTTTTCATATCTGGGATACTCATAGAGTCTTTACACTTCACTGCTTTAAAAAAATCGATACACTTCTTGTTGAATGGGATACAGTTTGTTTTAACTAGACTAGGAAAAATATTCAATATATTATTCAAGTAAATATAAAAAAATACCGCGTGAAAATCGAATCTGTGAGCTCCATTGTTGTAGACACCTCCTGCTCTACTTTTATGGTATTTTTATAATCCGTATATAAGGGAAATATAAAAAGCAAATGGTTCACTGTTCTTATCTTCACTCTTACCTTTTAAGTGTATAATAAATAATTGTAAATAATATTCACTCCCCTACACAATATTTATCGTGTCGCTCGGGTGTGTGCATTTTAATAATTTTAATTACTGACAGTAGTTTATGTGTTACTTTGTTACTTCGGGTCATAGTTTATATAATAATAATAATAATAATCATTTATTGCAGGCAATTTTCAAAACGCATAACATGTAAGATGAAAAAATAAAAATTACAATTAAAATTATAAATAATATAAATACATGATTATCATGATTTAATTTTCAGTCAGTTTACTTTAATTCAATGAATGTCGTTCTCAAAACAGTGTAATTACGTATATTTGATGGCGCTCGGCCAGAAATCATTTGAAAAAAAAGTATTTATTTGCTTTTTATTAATACTAACTACTCTTTGTCTTAAAAGAGTTAAAGCTAGTTCCGCACTTTTGATTTAATGTTGTACATCAATACAGCTTTCACCCATGTATGAAATATGTTCTTTGATATGATCAGCATTCGTGTTCTCAGAGGTTCTCGAAACATAGATAGCCATGGTTGGGTTTGCCACTTGTATTTTACAGCATCGCTGAGCGGATCCAGTCAGGTTAATATTATTATATGACTTGCGCTTGCGCGTTCAAATCTCGTTAAAACCATCCCCGTAACAAGATGCATTCACGATCAATCGATATTAGCTTTGTTTTTAATGATGTAGATTGAGAAATCAAATTAGTTTTGTATGTAGGAACCATCTCAACGTGTGCATTATTTTCCGACCGCAAGTTTGCGGTGTATTCAGTTGCTCACTCAATGAATGAATGTCAACAATATCGGTATGTACACCGTCGCCGTTTTTATTTATACGTCAAAGAAATATTCGACTCTTGAACTTTCATAACGAATAAAAATAAATAAATTTATATAAGTTTCATTCAAATCCGACCAGCTGTTTGAGGGTGAAGGAGGAACGAATATACAAACATTCACATTTAATAGTAAAGCGACATATTCCCGTTTCATTTAGTTAGTAGCAGAATACCTACGTATATATACAATAGTAATTAGCATTCTAACTAATGGTTAAATTATTTTGTAAATTTTGTACGTAACGCTTACTTTGTATATCTAATGCATAATAAAATATGGCGTAAATGATAATTTGAATTTAATAGCTAGCTACTAATAAGTTTTTTAATTCATATTACAATAAATATTCTAATTTATTCATGTTATATACATGTTTTTTTAAATAAAATAAGAAAATTAGATTCTTTTACGTACGAGTACAATATAATTATTCATAATATGTTTTTTTATGAGATATAAATTATATTATTTGATTTATCATGTCTTTTACAAAAATGTACAAAATGCGTGAGAATAGTTGTAACATATTGTAATATTATTCTTTTAATATTCTCTATTCTTTAAATATGCAGGTACATATATGTATTTAAAACAATCATTTATAAACATGCGATTGGACCTGTAGGTTCTACATTAATATTGTACAGTCTATATATTATACTGTTTTTTAACCCCCGACGCAAAAAGAGGGGTGTTATAAGTTTGACGTCGATGTCTGTCAGTCTGTCTGTGCGTGTGTCTGTCTGTGGCATCGTAGCTCTCAAACGGATGAACCGATTTCGATTTGAATGCCAGTTTCCTTGCGGTGGTTCTTAGCTATGTTTGGTTAATATCGGTCCAGCAGTGTAAGAGTATCAGCTCTTTTTAGGAAAAGAGATTATGATTACTCGATTAAGTGCTTTACGCATGCCAGTGTAATTGTTAAATGACAATTAATTTGCGTAGGGGGTGTTTAAATTTTTAAATTTATAATTATATTTTGAATGCGTTTGTTTCTGGAACTCCTAGACAGATTGAAAACATTTTGCATATTATAGTCTACAAGAAAGAAAGACAAAAACAAATATATCCCACGGGAATCGTACATTTTTCCTATGTGCTATTCCATAATCTATCTCTGTGCCTTTCATCCAGATTCGTTTCTGGCGTGATTGAGTAACAAACATCCATTCAAATTTTCGCATTTATAATATTAATAATGAAATGGGATAGTAAAAAACATAATATAGATAACTTATAATAAACTTTATAATTACAATGTGCCGGCTGTCTTGTATAAAAATAAAAAATGCATAATAAAACGCAAATAATTTTTATTTAATTATATATTTTTCTTTGTTATTTGTATTTTATGGCATTTAGAAATACAGGTGAATTTTAATAAAATTTATTATACGCAGTATGTGTTTCATGGACTTTTTATCGTTAAAGCTAAATTCTATATTTCTGAATTAGATATATTTGCAAATTATCCTGATAGTACTTTAAAATTTAATATTTTTTGGTGTAAAGTGAATGTCTGTCGAGATTTCGTGTACATTTTCATTCCTTTGCGTGGTTCTTCTTCGAGCATTTTAATGTATCCTACACTGTAAATACCTCGAGGCGCTCGAGATCTCGATGCTAGTGACTAGCAAAAAGATCTTAGACAAAAACAAAAACGATGGATATTTTTGGAACTGCATTAGTTAACGTGTGTATTTTTTCGTTTTATTGCAATTTTATTTTATTCATTATTTTATTCTTGATAAGATCTGCTCTTTTTTAGAAAAAACTTAGTTCGTCTAACATCTGACTGTGGCTGTATCCTTTAAATTATTTTTTGGTTCGGATATTGTTATTGTTTATTTAAAGATGCATGTATATAGGTATTGTAGTACAGAAAGATGATAATGATTCTATTTAGGATTTGTCAAGACAGTATGTATGTTGTTTTAATGTCGCTTGCGCAAAATTCAATTGTTTAGTTTACATATCTTGTTAGATATGTTTTAAAATATTATAAAAGAAAATAGTAATTTTATATTAACACACTCTGGCTTCGCTCGGGTTCGTCCCTAGCTTGCTTCCCAATACAAACTTTCATCCCCATTTTCACCCCCTTAAGGAATGATTTCCGGGATAAAAAGTATCGTGTATGTCCTTCCCAGGGTCTCAAGCTGTCTTCTCACCAAATTTCATCTAAATCGGTTCAGTAGATCCAGAGATTACCCTCTACAACGTCACAAACTCACAATCTCACAAACTCACAAACTCACAAACTTTATGTCTTTATAATATTAGTTTAGATATAAAAGTCACATGTTATAGGTATATTATTCGACTTTGTACTGAAGCTAAAATTCGCTAGATAAATAATTATTAAATAGATTAAATATGTACACTTTAACTGCACTCATCATTAATAAGTATAAAATAAAGTCGGTATTCAAAACTGTACGTTTTTGCGGTTAGTTGGTCTAATCTAATTTTAATACGTCTTTATCAAAAGTTAAACAAAGCGTGTGCAGATGGTTATATTATAGAAACAAGATAATAAATAAATATGTCGGGACAATAACACAGCACCATCTAGTTCCATGGTAAGCTACGAGGCTTGGGTTATGTATACCAGATAGTTGATACACTACACGTATATAACTTTAAATATATACATATAATAAATATAAACGCCCATGACTGGAGTACAAACAACACACAAATGAATGCCCCAAGCGGGACTCGAATCCGCGACTGCTGGCACGGCAAGTAGAGTCACTACGAACTGAGCCAAAGCCCAAACGTGTCGTCAAAAGTCACGCATCCGAAGAAAGCTAGGGTAAATCACTAGTCTACAATAAAAAATGATAATAGGTAGTATGACTATATAACCTATTATTAAAAATATGGCGTACATAAATTGAACTAACCAATTATTGTAAGTAACGTAATAAAGAATTGGCATTGAGTTGAGTTTCCTTAGACTTAACAATTCTAGAAGCCTTGGCGACGTTATAAATGGGAGATGACGTATGTTAGTTTGTTTGTAGATAAAAAAATTGCACACCACTTCTTTTCAACCCTTTAGAGGGTGGAGAGATGAATTTCAAATCATATGCGGCTATCTATAAAATATATAGGAACAGACGGTCACTAACAGTCAATATTTTTATCTATACATATAATAAAATTGTAACTAAGCGGAATCTGTACATTAAATATTTTTTGGAAAATATTATTGAAATAAACATTATTATCGATACAGAGGACGAATATATAGTTTTTAGAATTTTTGTCTGTCTGTCTGTCTGTTACCGCATCACAGAAAAACCACTGGAGGGATTTTGATGAAATTTGGTATGTGATAGCTGGTTATCCGGGTCAACATATAGGATACTTTTTACCGCGGGAAAATATCTCATTTTTGAGAAAAAATACAAAAACTGCATTGTAAGAGTATACTAATATGTAAAACCTAAGAATTTGGTTGGCCGCGCGCAATGCTAGTTAATAATATAACACAAAATATTTTCTATTGTAAATTATTTGTTATAGGTACAATATTATTGTATATTTGATGCATTTATTTATGTACAAAATCACGGATATAGCCAAATAGCCAAGGTCAAGGATAAAACTCCCAAGCATAAGGTGACATAAGCATAACGGCATTACAGTACTAGTTTCCGCTTCATCAGTATCGAACCTTGACCCACTTTAAAATAGCAAATTTTACACTTTTTTTTAGT